TACTAGTACCGAATAAGTAATGATTTTCATCATTATTCAATAATTATATTATGCGAGCATGTAATTTCGCATGACATTGTTGCAAATTACATACACGTACCTAGCTAATTTTATACATAGTTGAACTAAGGACTGTATTTTCAAGTTATCGTAAAAAATAGAACACCTATTCTATGATTTATCTATCTGTCTAGCAACACAAACGGTGACGTGAGAATGAGGTTTTGTAATACTGAGGCAATAGACAATAATCATTCAGTCATGTTTCGCTCATCGCTATGTTTGAATTTAGAATAATGGAAGATAGCGTTTTTTTTATTTCGCTCTTAGCTTATTTATATTGTAACTAATTATACTTTAATATTAATTTTTGGGCAATACCCTGGAAAAGGTATTTTTTAATGAGAAAAAATTGGATGATAACCTTGTCTGCACTATTGTCTTATCCTGCTGGGATACCACTCATCATAGTTGAGAATGAAATCCACTTAGCCCAGTAATATGAATTCTCCAGGAATTAGCCGTCAATATCCCCTGGAATCATCCCCATAATCCCAAAAAAACCATGGTAAATTAATAAATGCATCTCGAGAGGCCAACTGATCGAACTAGTTCTTCACTCACTGGTGTACCGCCAGCGTACACCAAAGGTAGCGGCAGGGTTATCATTACTTTTTCATCATATATCAGAAGACATCCTGGGAATGAAAGGGAATGGTGGAATTGTATTTTTTTGTTATCCCCATGCAAAAATGGTATTGTTATGCAATATTCTAGTGAATACAGTTTGTGTTGACAGTTTGTATTACAATTACATTTCCTTAACTAGTTATAATAGCTACAAGTAAATCGCTCCAAATTTGTCGGTGCGCGGGCGTTCCTCATTTCATTCCGAACTTTCATAATCTATATTTCAGTAGGGTTGCCACTGTCTCTTAGTAAGTGATAAACTATACAATTTACATGTGGAGGAAAACGTGTTACAAATCCCTATTTATTTGTATGTGAAAATGTGTGACTTTTTGTTTGGAAGTCAGTAATCTCAAAATTCACTTCGTGCACGGGTTGCCTATTCCAAATCTATGGGTGGGACAGGGATTGTTAGTAATGTAAACACTAATCCCCATTGATAGTTCATGAAAACCATAGTGTTTAATATCCACGAATTCGCCTAGATGGACCAACTGATTTGACTTCATACTCATTATTCATTCTATACTGGTGCTCCATCATTATATATCGTTAGCATAAATGAAAGCACCATTTTATCTTCATTTGTTAAAAAATAAAACCCAAAATACTTTCTATAATTATAGAAAAGTCAATCGTGGCAGCATTTTATTGAATTTTTTATATCTCTATATTTTTTTCGTCTCAACATCGTTTCAAATTTGAATAAAATAAAAAAAAAACAGGAACCTATACATGTAAAAGTTATTTAGGACTAACGTTTGGAGGTAACCCTAGATAGATGCCCAGTGAAAGCTCTTCGTGGGTGGACGTAGATCACAGAATATGACTACCATGTTGCCATGTTAACGTGCACATAGGATGAAATTGGCTTTGGGCGATTTAGCTGTGTCCTGTTATTTATCCATCTGCTTTGACTTCAAAGTGATGTAAACTATTAAATATATCTATATTCATTAGCTTATATCACTTACATACTTATTGTTTTAATCTAGTTTTTACTCATAACTTCGTTCGTATGATTGAGATAATTTGATTGAATGGTATAAGAAGTAGCGTATGGTATTCTCCTTGGGTTTGGATGTCGTAAGGGAATTAAAAGGTCGAAGGATGGGCAGCAGTGTCCCTCTTTAAACATCACCAAAGCCTAACTGCGGTTGTCAACCTGCTAGCCATGCGAGGCAACTATTAGTAAACCCCCCTTATAGGGAGGGAAAAAGGGATTGTTAGCAATGAAGTTTGACAGCCCCATTGCTAGCAATATGCCCTATTAGTTCGACCTCCACGTGGTTCCCTCTGGAAACCATCGTGAACAATTCTTGTTGAATTCGTCACGATGGGCTAACTGACCTGCTTCATCCTCACCTATCATCCTTCACTGGTGCCCCGCCGGTGTATACCGATAGCGCGGGTGGGGTTACCATTCCATTATCCCCATTAAACCCGCCTTATAGGGGAGGCCTGTGTCCAGCAGTGGACAGTTCACGGCTGATATAATAATAATAGCTTTCTGCTTCTCAAGTAGTACGTGTATACTAAATTTCTAGACTGTTGATGATAGTTGAGCTATTAAGACGTTAAGAGGTAACTGACAATCAGAGCCTTAATAGTATAATTATCATTATTATATCAGCCGTTTATTGTCTGTTGTTTATAATATAGTATAATATTAGTAAAGTTTCAATCCGATATTGGACAACTTATATATTTATTTATTATTTCTTTATTGATCACATTACATTTTAATATTTGGTACAAAAGGCGAACTTAATGCTTTGCAGTATTCTCTCCCAGTCAATCTTTTTCCCGTGGGTGTCGTAAGAGGCGTCTAAGGGAGGACGAAGGATGGGCAGCAGCGGTCCTCTTAAAACATCTCTAAAGCCTAACTACAGTTGCCAATCCGTCTGCCAAGCGTGGTTACTACTGGCAAAACCCCCCAAGGGGGAGGCTTATGTTCAGCAGTGGATAGTTAAAGGCTGATAATAATATGATGATTTACTTTTAGGTAAAGTGAGTTTAATTGCTTATTTGTTTGTGTGAAAAATTATTGACTGATACCTAATTTGAAGGCCCGCATGATGTTGGCTATGTATTCGTAACGTCATCAAATATCTAGCTAGAAACTAACGCTAGACCAGTGAAGGAAACAAGCATTAATACTATCCATTGCAAACTGATCTTGTGCAAGTTTGTGAATTGAACAGGCATGCAAAATAACAGTTTAGATGTAATTTACGTTTGATTGCAACGTTTTGTGTCTATAGTATAGGCAGATATAAACTAAAGGCAAAAATATAAACGACGACAAATTATAGGTAATTGATGGTAATGATAAAATGACAGTTTGCAATATTTAATGTTGGAAAATTTGGTACTTATCTGTATTTTAAGATATTTAAAAATAGAGTAGTTTCAAAAAAAGAGGAAGTTTTTTTTATTTGCTCGTTTTTTTTTTATTGTTACGTGATATCATCACTAATTAAAAATGATTTTAATGATTACTACTTTAATTTCTTTTGTGTGTCCTACCGCTTGTAGTCGTATAACAGATATTGTACTGAGAAATTGTTTGAAATTATGGCTTTAGCCACCTTTTATCGTCGCTTCGCTCGCCATATACAGGGAATTCATTCTCACATGCTTGAATCTGAATGCTCATGTACTCGTACAGTGCGGTTTCAAAGGAATTTTCTCAGGCTGTGTAATAAGAGGACTCAGATGGTATTCTTCTGTATCCTGTAAATTCACGCCATATCCCACCCTTCAAACCGAAACACAGCCATGCAAACACAACTGCTTCACGGTAGAAACACGAATGGGATAGAGGTACCCAAGCAATTGACTTTTGTACAAAGTCTCCCTCTGGTATTGAATTATCTAGCTATTTTTTTTCCGGATGTTTGTGTTTTTGAGAAAAATCGTAACAATGTTGAGTTTTGTGGTCGTATTATTGCTGTTCGCAATCATATTGAAATTTTGTGTTTTGAGTATTATGTACTTCAACCGACTTCAATAAAGTGGAGGTGTGGTTAGACTGTATTTTTTATGTGTATACTATGCCATGTGATATTTTTTCAATTAAATGAAAATGAATTTTATTCTTTGTTTATCTCATATTATTTTTTTCAATATTGAAGTCTGTTTCCAACCGACGATGAAAAAAGACAGAAATTCTCAATTCGGTGGTATTTTTCTTTAATCGAACATAATCTAAGGGATGCCTATTACTATGTGTAATTTTGCACTCTTGTTATATACTTAAGTATGACGCCACACCCAACGTCTGGGAAATGCACTTGCACAATACCTGCATATGGAGTTGCAACATGTTAAATGCTTGAAATATTTGATCGTATCGTATATATACGTAGATAGATAAATAAATAAATATATACGGACAAAGTTTCATCAATATTCATAGTTTTAAATATCAATTTAAAAATATTAAAGTTGACAACGGGGCTTGACAGTATTGAATAAACTTTAAAATGTTCCTCAATAAAAGTGGACTTTAGTTTTAAGACTTTAAAGAATTTAATATTTATATAAATATTAAATTCTTGCCGTGTGGTCCCGGGATAGAATGGGCCACCCCTTCCTTTTCCGTGGGTGTCGTAAGAGACGACTAAGGGAACTTAATGGTTGAGGGATGGGCAGCAGCGTCCTTTTTAATAGATCACCAAAGCCTAACTTCGGTTGCCAACCCGCCTGCCAAGTGTGGTAACTATTGGCAAAACCTCCCTTTATGGGGAAATTCTATGTTTAGCAGTTGACAGTTGATGACTGATATTACGATGATAATAAATATATTCTATAATGGTATCGAGCAATGTTGTGTTCGACCCATGTTTTTTAGGTAAAAATACTCAGATTTATTGTTAGACCTGGGGGATGTGCATTGGTGTGTTAATACCGGCGCATCCCCCGAATGGTAGGGTGAGCGCGCCATCCACCCTATCTTGAGAGAGGAGACCTGCTCTTACCATCAGGGGGCGGGTCGCTGCCGTCGGAGATGTGGTGAGTGCGAAAGCGAATAATAATATGGCACCTAGAGGAGAGGTCTGGTTTTTGGTGGGTACACCCCCACCTTACGGGGGGATTCCCACAGTATCCATTCACCTCCCACAAGGTGTATGGGTCTGCATAAAGCATTTTCCAGACGATAAAAAAAAGTTTTATTGTTAAAACATTCATTTAAAAGCATGATAATTTAGATTATATTAATATAATGTTAAGCGTATTACAAAATGTCTATTATTATTAATTATATATGTAATGAAAATAAATGAGTAAAATAAAAAAAATACAAGTGATTTATTAAAATAGTTTTATTTAAATATTTACAATTATTATTCTTATAATTATTCTTAAATAAATATCTACGCTAAGATTTAAAAAAGGTTTCAACTGGCCAAGCAATTTGGACAGTACAATGATTGTTATTTGACCGTTTCGTAAAATATAAATAACAAGTATTGATTGTTCCATTACCGATAGAATTTATATGTACTTTATCAGTCATTATAACGTACCTATTATTATTAATGTATAACAAAATTAGAATCCATAAAATGTGATTAATTAGGACACATATACGTACCACAGTATAAAAAACTTATAGTCGTTCAACGAACATGTAGACATGTTCAAACATTAAACAATTAATTAATTATACATTAATTAATTAATTATGTTAAACATTGGTTTGTCTAGAGACAAACCAATGTTTATTTATTTTTTGATAAATAAACAGACAGATCCCCCTAATGGAAGGTGGTAAATTGTCCCGAACTATCATGTAATCATTCAGGATTTGTGTCAAAGGCGTTGAATCTTTATTTGTTTTTATACTGTGTACATGCTTTGCAAGTGCGTCGTACAAATATAATATCTCGTATGAAATATGTATGCGTGGCCAATACCAAACGCAAGCACTAATGAATTCTTACATTTAAAAAAAAATAAATTAGTATTAGTAACCTGTATGTACCTTATAATAAATCACTTTTTTAAATTACACAATTCAAGAAAAAGAATAATATCTGAAGAATTAAAATTACTCTTTAACAAAGAAATCGTCTGTAAGGGGCACGTGACTGATCTGATCGTATGTGAACGTGTCGAAGAATCTCTGAGTGACATTCATGGCGTAATCTATAGCGTAATTCAAAATAGGTTCACCGAACTCGTTCGCAAATAGCTGAGAGTCTCTGTTGAGAACTTGAAGAATGTTGGCACCTGGGGATTACAAATAAATACAATTAATTTATTTAAAAGTTGTCGGAAAGAAAATAATATAAGATTCACATTAGGGGTGCTACCATGAAACGAAATTCCGAACATTCGGACTCAATTTCGTGTTTTCGTTCATACCGAAATCGGACCAGTAAATAGAGCTTAACTTTTGTTGGTCATAAATTCTACCATAAAATCCATAGGAACGATATTTTAACATTCTTAATATTTTTAAACTGTACGTTTTATGTAATATTAATATAAAATTTTTGTTTTGTACTGCTCCGAAATTTCGAAAAACATTTCATGGTAGGACTCTCTGGAACTATCAGTGCTCGTTATATAATGAAACAGTTGTTTAATTTGATAATAAAATTTATTTGCGACCATTGTTAATCGATTACAAAAAAGGAAAAGGTTGTATTTTAGACTGTAATTTTTTTTTAAAGGAACCCTAAATGTAGTATAGAAAAAAGGATAAACTTCAGTTTAGTTTAAATTTTATAAAAGGAACCAATCCCCTATAACTACATAATCATCATCTAAAACCAAAGTTTAATTGGTAGCTCATCTTTATTTGTGGCTATTTTTTTATACGTAACTACCATTATGTTACCGAGCATAGAAAAGAATAAAATCCCATTTGGTGTAAATCTTATAAAAAACATAATAAATTTGCCAAAATTGTAATTCAATTAAACGAAAGCAGGAAACAATTATAGTACAAGAATGTTGTCGTTCATTTTTCATTTGTATCAAGTTTTATTAAAAAGCCGTATCTGCAGAAGTTAGCAGCAAGTGGCTAAATGAGGATCGATACTATATTATCTCTTAAATTGGAGCAAACAATACACATTTTAGTTTATTGAAATCGATTGAGGTGTTTTGGAGGTTAGTGTGGCTGAATTGTGACATGGGATTTTTATATATTAAGATACAAATGTATTTCAGCGCATTGAGATCGTAGAAAGGGGAATAATAGGAACTATTTTTGTATACCAATTGTTAAAACATTTACAGAAATTTCATTTCAAAAATCTTACTAAAGTTATAACATCAGTATTTAATATTTGGAACATTGGATGTTTTTGTTGTATATGGGACGAAGATGCATGATGTAAATTTGACAGATGTCCAAAAAGAAACTATGCTTTGTCTGTGGTAAAGATTATTCATTACTCTGTTTTGTGGGTGATTTTAGAATAATGTTAATTTATATCTTTTTTTTTACAATAAATCTAACCTAAAAAATGAGTAATTGACTTCTGTTTTGTATACAACAATATGTCTATAATATATTATGATGAGAATAATTTATTTATTGTTTTGGAATTTAGAGTTAGTAGTTGCTACTAACTTAAACTAATGAAAAAAAAATGATTTCTTTCATAGAGTAATAATAGCATAAAAACAAATTAGTCACGATTTTTCTTAGATCATTTGTTAATTATAATTCAGATTTCTGTTAAAATTGTCGTAATGTCATAATATTGTGTTAAATTAATTAATATTTTATAAATAAGAAATGATAAATATTGTTCTTGAATACTAATAAACAATTTATGATATTGTAGATTTGAAGTAAGAATTTATATCCCAATTTAACACAGGATACTTTACATACGGATCTTCGCGGGCAAACCAGCGCGAAACTACTAGTATAAAATATGTTAGGCACTGTAACTGAATATATTGCAACACAAAGTACAAACAAGTGTTTATGATATCTGCTTAGACATCCTTTCAGGAAATATATTTCATTTGGCTGGTAAGCTTACAACTAACTAAAATATATTGAATACTATCAATAACAAATTTGGCACTGTGATATCTAAACTACAGTTTGGTAAGCTGCCAAGAGCCATGTTGTTGCAGCAGTGAGGAAGATATTACGTATGAAATATTTCATAAATACAGTGTGAAATTTCATATGAAATGCAAAATCATTAGTCGGCCCTGCTACTTGCAGTTGGATTGCATTAGTGAAAAATGCAGCAAGATCGGATTTATTCGTGACTAGCTTTTTGACCAAAAATTTCGGAATTCAATTTCAATTCAATTTATTCATAAACAATAATAATATAATAATAATACAAAATTGTGTTAAATATGATTATGATACATTTTAGGATTCATATGAATTTCTTACATATCTCCCATGTACAGATATCGTCTAGTTTCAAATTTATTATATTAGTAGTAAGATTCATCCGCTGTACTTGGATAACAGTCGGTGTTTTGTAAAGAGTGAGCAACTTTATTGGTCATAAAAATCCATAATTCATACTTCATTTTTAATAGAATAATATAACAAGTATGATGTGTAATACCATATATATAAAATATAAAAAGGGCGAGGGATGGGCAACAGCGTCCCTCTTAAAACATCTCTAAAGGCCTAACTGCGGTTGCAAACCCGACTGCCAAGCGTGACAAGTGCTGGCAAAACTCCCCTTATGAGGAAGGCTTATGTCCAGCGGTGGACAGTTAATGGCTGAAGTAACAAAATGATATTAAATAGTAGCGAATGAATAACATTGATTTTTCACAGGTGAAATCACCAATTATTTCCATGCCTAGAAGAAATGTATCGAGCGCACGAAATACCGATACGGTTTACATACTATAGAGTGATTTACAAAATAACGTTGCGTACTAGTTAGTCATGCTCTAATAGAATCAGATCTTTACTAATATTATATACTAGTTGTTTCTCCAGACTTCTGTTTAGTATATAAGCTAAAGACTTTATAATCGAAACGAAGAACAGTTACATTTTCGCCTTATTATTATGTATCTATAATGTTTATAGTAATGATATTCAGAGAAGGAATAAATCCCACATCGATTTCTATGACAAAAAAATACATTTGTTTTGTCGCAGAGATGGGTCATATACCATGGGACACATATTATTAAGTTTATTCCTATCTTAGAATATCTATAGAAATATAATATTACTATAAGATTTTTAACAACTTACATTAATTAGGATGTTATATTAGATTTTTAAGATAACACATTAGTGTCATAATGTATAATATTAAAAAAAAAAACAAATAATATAAAATAAACAGAAAAGGTAATAAAACCAATTTAGGCAAATGCTATTAACAAATCCAATCCAAAAGTTGCAGTTAGGAGAAAAGTGGTATAGTGTACAAAAATGTAAATTTATCAAACGATTAAGTACATGGGTTTAAGATTAATTTTCAGTGGGTTTGGCTCCTTAAAAAGGCCCATACTTATGTGCTCTCAGAGATGTCTTATTATGATGTTCATAGTTAAAAACTATTTTTGTTACTTGGAATGGGTATCAGACAATTCTAGGATGGGCTTGGTTCTTCTTGTTACACGGGCTGGACACCGGACAATTCTAGGGTGGGCATGGCCCTCCCGGCCCCTCTTAAATACGCCTACGATTAAGTATCAAAATATTTTGCAATCCTTTTGTCAACGATGGCCGTTACAGTCGTGAGCACACATATATTCAATTGTCAAAGTCGGATGTAGCCAAATGTAGACATTATATTTTACTGGGTCATAATAATTTGCCGGCATACTTACTGATTTCAGGGTTGCCCCTAATGAGGTTGGTCAAGTTCATCTTGAGGTCCGTGCCATAATCCGCTTTGTATTTATACGAGTTGATTTTGTAGTGACCTTCGCCATCTTTGTTTTTCACCACCTTCTCTTCAACTTCGAGTCTGATGTGTTGGTTCCCTGAAAATTTATCTTAAGTTAGTTAGACTTAAGTTAGATTGGATACAGATTAATGCGTATAAACAATACAAATGTCAATCTGTTTTATGTAGATATTAACGATTTATCGACAAATTTAATTATGAATTTAGCTCGAAAGGAAGAGATGACATGCTTCAATAGGTAAAACAGCAAGCAACTAGGGTTGTCAAAAACTATCAAAAAGAATAATATATCTATTTAGTGTGTCAATTATAAGATTGGCAAAATCCTTCTTATGGGAAAAGCCTTTGTTCAGCAGTAGATTGTTAACAGACAGCCGTTATAAAAAAAATAATAAAAAAATATTTAGGTTTTGGCTAGAAAAAGACAAAATACCTCAAGAGTTAATATGGGTTTAATTGACGTTTGTGTTTTTTATATAAATAAGTAGTGGAACACATGACACTTACAGATTTTAATTTTGGCAGCACCCTCGGTGTCTAGATTGAAGAGTAGCAGCCTGCCTCGCAAGCTGTATAGTCCACGGATAGTGAAGTTACAGTGCATGTCGAACACGAAAGTACGCGTTTCCCGACGAGACCTGAGTAGGATAACTGATAAATAACAAATGGTCATGTGAAAATACCACATTTTTTAAAGGAACTACTACAATTCGGGAGAGTGTCGCCATCTGGTGAAAAGAATTACTAAGTTGCCTTTTTTACACACAAAGACTTCTGATGTGGTTTACTGGACACCCGCTTTATGTGGTCCTTACAAAGTACGATGCAAGTAATTAATTTTAAATGATCTAAGCATGAATCCTATAAATTCAGATGTTTAGACTGAAACTGTATCTTAGGATTTTCGGGCCGCAGTTAAACGTAGTTCAACTGAGCTATCTCAGATTTTAGAATGATAAACAAGTTGACGGCGCACCTAATAGAAAATGGAAACCGTCACTTATTTGAACACATGAACAATATTTATCACAAACATAATAAAACACATGCTCTAGGTTCTCATACGAAGGACTAAGGTGTTACGCCCCTGTACCCTACAATGTCCTTGACATATTCTCCCTTCGAACCGAATTATTGCATTCACAAAAGGATGTATATGAGTGCAAATTTTACCCAGTCTATTTATTCTTGAGATATGAATACAGCCTCATTTGAAAGATTGGAGACTCGTAACATCATAACCACATGATTTGCTATTACCCGAGCTAGACTTTATGCGCGTTTCGTAATTGGAGTCAGTAGACGCTGGGGAATTACTCAATTAATGTAATGAATATGTCACTCAATCGGTTTAGCTTAAGTAGTATTCTAGTCTTATAAATTAAATGTTACTTATAATAGAAATATGAAAGGTCAGACATTTGAAATTTTGTTACTTCTATCACCATCTGAATATAAATGACAACTTGTATTTATAGGTTTGTCCTGGTCCGTTTCTAATTAACGTAGCAATCTGTTCCAGATTTGCACGAGTATAATTTATTACAAGATATTGATTTTATCTATTTATCATCATCATCATTTTTGCTTGTATCTATGTTGCTGGATATAGTTCATTTTCAATGCCTTCTATTATGTGCGATCCTTTGCTATTCGTATCCATCCAATTTTAACATATCCAATCTATTTATACAAAAAAATAATTAAGATATGCTTGTATTTATAATACTTGTACAAATCTTACGTAAAAAATAAATAAAGAAACTCGTATCAAAATGGTAGCGTACATTAGATGAAGAAAACGGAGAAGCAGACAGTCAGATCCAACAATCATTATTCTCTCAATCAATAATTTATTTTGTCTTACATAGGTAACACCGAGTATTAAAAAGTTAGATGGCCCTAAATTTCTGGCCCATCACCTAAAACAGTAGACAAATAAGGAAATATCTATATTTACATAATTTCAAACACAACTATGTTAGATGTCAGGGTAAATATGCCGGTAAAATATTAATGAACAATAAAATTATTGACATAAAACAGTTACAGGGTTTGAGGTCACGTTTCTGACATCACAGTCGACTTAAGATTGAATGGGTACATACATAAACATGTATATTTGAGTTGACACACGTATTGTGTTTAGAAATATGCGTTGGAAAAGTTAACAAGTGACAATTCAATGTACTAGTGCCACGTGCCGTGCTCATAATTACACTAATAGCATGCATAAACTAGGAATATTAAGAGTCAAAGCTGTTAGACTAACAGTCTAGTCCTACTCAGGTCCTAGTTAGTTTTTAAAGAAATTACTAGGTTATCCTTAAATCATAGCCTAGTGCTGCGAATTTGCCATTTCGTATTTTGTCAAAACTATAATACCTACTAACTTCTACCCTGATTGAAGATAAAGTTGGGAGTTTAGTACGATAGTACGCTGACTGGATAGACTACACCACAAAATGCAAATAATAATAATCAGGGGGAAGACATTGTTAGCAATGGAGACAAGTGGATCTACCGACAGCAATAAAGGGTATACTCAGGTTGACTACCAACCGCTGTAAACATATCATTGGAAATCAACGTCATCGTCACTTTTAATGTTTCAAGTTAATGTCAAACACAGTAATAAAAAAAAAAAAAACTTTTATTAGAGAATAGGAGTAGATTACTTTTACTCGTAAATAAAGGCACTAAAAAATCTGTTTCTTAAATTGACCCGACCGAGAATAGAAACCGAGATTTTACTAAGTCCCATAAAAAATAGTTTAATTATTTCCAATGATAGTCTCTAGATCATTATCTCATATCCTGCACATAAGATTTGAGGGTTAAATCATTTTTAACGCATCAATTTTGTAATTAACTATGTACTTTAAGAAATCTAACAGCGATTTTATTGATCAGTAATCATTTTATTGATTGAGGATTCAGTCGGCGATTTAATTCCCTTATTTCGGAATAATTGAAGCCGTTTTTAAGTTAAATTCGTTTTGTCTATTCTCTATTAATTAATAAGATGGGACAGGATATATTATTTATTTATTGCTATACAAATTATGTTATAGTATTTTTTTATTTTATTATTAAAAAAAGAAGTGTTTTTCACTAATTTATTTATTCATAACAAAATATAGTGTATTATATTTTATAAATAAATTAATATTTTTATGTAACTTAGAATGGCAAACATAAATAATATTAACCTTACTACTATACTAAAATTCTAACTAGACGTTATCTGTACATGAGAGATATTTAAGAAAAAATAATTTTAATAATAGTTTAATAAGACTTTAAGATTCTGTAGCAATAATTTTTAGAAATATTGCTCGTTCGTCTAATCAATTGATTTTCTCACTACTAAATACACGCGTACAAAGTAGCAGGTAAAAAGATAGTTACAAAATAAAAGAATATAAACATTTAAAATAAAAGTTTGAGCAACAGCACTTGCTCAACAACAAAGAACTTGCTTTTAAATGTTCTCCACCGTTCTTTTTACCTAGCTGCTCGTCCCGATTTTGCACTGGTATATTATAATAGAAGAAAATGAGACTAAATCTTCTCTTTACAGTTACTGTCTTCTGTCTTACACACTCACTTACATTTTTAAGTGGAGATATTTTAACTCGAAACTTTTCACTTTTTCGCACCATTTTTAAAATATTTTCTGTCATACAAACTTTGTCCTGATATTTACAAACACAAGAAAAATAAAATTAGCTAAATAAGTTTAGCTGTTCTAAAATGATGCACTTACATACATTCGGTAATTGATTTTCGTTTGCACAGATTTAAAAGAATTTGGTTTTATGGTACTAAATAAAATGTTGTAAGAACATATGACACTTTATTTGGGCCACATATACATATATGAGCATAGTCCTAACAGTTTAGCAACCTAGGTGACGTAGAATGGAATCTTTAGATTTCTAGGTAAATCCACAAGGTGATATTCAAATCATTAGCATCCTTTTATGGAGAGTTCTGTTAGTGAAGTTATATTTTTTAAAAAATTATATATTTTCTTTAAAAATTTAGGTCCAAAAATAACAAAAAAATTGACGTTTTTTTGCTTTATGTTTTTTCATGTAATTTTAAATACACCTGTTTACTAATCTATCCCATCTTGTGCAGTAATGTGTGCTCACCCTCTTAGTTGGTTTTTATTATTATTTACTAGCTGTTTTCCATGGCTTTGTTTACCCGTACCAAACTTCATTCGAAGCTGTTCACAAACTTTCACATTTTTAATAATAGAAGGATAGTAATATAGTGAATGAATTTGAGAATACTTACGAGACTTTATTTGGCACGCACGACCCTAGTCCTGATAACTTGGCGTTGTGGAATGTCATCTTCAGATTTCCAGGTAACTCAATACTGATGTTCCTGTCCATATATAAAGGATCCAGTGGCGGTATATCAGCTTCAGGAATGCCTTTGACAACCCCAGGGATTGCATCCAGTGTGGCTTTGGTGAAGCATTCGTCGCTGAGCTCTGAGCACGGGTGGATATAGTCCGCTGAAACATTTTGATAAAATATGACTAAACTAAATCTTATGTAATTGTCCTAAGGCTTAGTTTGATTAATATTATAACTATTGGATGATTAGAATTTGGAAACTAGCCTAATGTACCTCCTAGGGGGGAAAGGGATTGTTACTAATGAGGTCGAATAGCTCCAATAGCTAGCAATAGATCCTCTCAGTTCGACCTCCACGCGGTTCCCCCTGAAAACCATCATGGTTAATTCTTGTCGAATTCATCATGGTGGGCCAACTGACCTGCATTCATTCTCACCTATCATCTTCCACTGGTGCCTCGTCGGTGTATACCGATAACGCGGGCGGAGTTACCATTCCATTTTCATCTATTAAAAAAAATTACCTCCTACTTTAGGTCTTAGTCCTATAGTAGAAATACACGAGTGTAATTACGTAGCCGGTACAATTTATATACATTGCGATGGTCATAATGTAGTGACTATAGACGGTTACCACTTTTCGTCAGATTATTTAGTAGCTAGCTTTAATTGTTTGTGATTTGCAATACAAAATAATTAAATTGAAAAAGCTAAATTTCGATTTGATCTACCTAAAATAACCGATACATATAAATGATAAATATGTTGACAAACGCTTAGAAAATTAACAGAAACAGCATTATAATAGGTGGCATTTTTCCTTTTATCTATCAATAAATGACTTTTGTAAGACCAAGATAAGTAGTTTAATAGTGACACACTTAGGTTTTATGTAAACTGAGGTACTTGCGGCGTAGACGTAGAGATAAATCGCTAGGTCTGTGGTTATTATTTTGTAATATTTCTTAAATTACATATTTGAAAATATATATTAGATAATATACGAATTTTTAGAGAGTAGAAACAGAGGAGTTTAAGTGAAATAATTTCTCAATTTTACTGTATTTGATTATTAAAAAAAATACTTACGTAAAGGTACCAATTGGAGACTACATTGAATTGTTGCACAAAACACAAATGCTATAAATGTACTTGTATAGTAGGACATTTTAAATTATTGTATATTAACACGATATGCCGCGCTGTCTGGTGCAAGCAATGTTAGTTTTGCGAATGGCGTTAACACAGCGCCTAACAGATATTTAATTTTAAGCATTCATTAAGCAAGCTCTCAAGGATTTAGTGTGCGTTTTCATAATATCGACGAATTGGCTTAGGCACAGCAAATTATTCGATTGATGTGAATGGAAATAAACTTCTTATTCTTCTTTTAAATATATAAGCGACGGTTACTATTTTCCATCAGCTGGGCCGTCAGCTTGGTTGCCATTCTGAGCTGTCCAAAAAAACTTAGATTAACAATTTGTTCTTTAATGTATGAAGGAGGAGTGGTAACACTACCTGCATTTATGCTGATAGATAAAGTCAGTTGGTTTATAGTATAGAATTAACTAGAAATTAATCACGATGTTTTCTAGAGGAATTCACATTAATGTTGGCACGATAGAAAGTGGAGTATCAATTACTAACAATTTCATCTTCACTAATCTTAAGTTAAAATAGTTTATGCAGTTCACTCACTTACACTTCTAGGGAGGCCGGGCTCTTAATCTTGCAAGTAATTTATGCAAATATAAAGGGTAATAGGTGAGAAATAATATATGAAGTAATATACTGCAATTATAGGCATGTAAAACCTTAACTACTTTATGATTGGAAACGTAATATATCTAATTAATATTATTATTATATTTTGTTAAATACGATAGAAAGTTTAGAAATTTGTAAAACATCTTTGATTTTACAGCAGGAGAAAATTCGACTAGTAATATCTGATTATACTAATAATAGTAATGAATGTTAATAGTTACACGTTTATTGTGTCGGCGTGAATGAAACTCGGGCTTAAGTCTATTGGCTTTACTTACAATGTACAATTTATATTTGCTAGTACAGAACTTTATTACGAAACTATAAGTGGCATTATTAACCCTATTGTCATCATGTCGGTGACACTTAATAGGATTAGCAATATCACATACAAAGTTCTCGACCATAACCGGCATAGATGTGACATTGACGTTAGATATGATTATAGTATTGCTACATCTAGTATCTGACCTACTACCTAGAAACACTATTGAGGCCATTGGATTCAGTGTTAATAATTTCCAGGTATTACTCCATGCTTTCCTAATATCGAAAAGTCTGCAGTTTAGGTGTTTGAGAATATCTTCAAATTCTGCTGAGAAGAGATGCGAAGATATGATGTGCTTGTTACCAGAGATTATAAGATAATATTTTATTTTGTTGCTTGTAATATACCTTACCGACTAAGGGAGGACGAGGGATAGGCAGCAGCATCCCTCTTAAAACATCTCTAAAGCCTGACTGCGGTTGCCAATCCGCTTGCCAAGTGTGGCAACTACTGGCAAAACCCTTCAAAGGGCGGCTTATGTTCAGCAGTGGACAGTTAAAGGCTGCGATGATGATGATAATAATTATTTATTTTTTTATTTATTTCATCAAGTGGATGAGCTTTACAGTCTTCCAATACGCTCACCCTGGATATATCTTATCAAGTACACCTTTACGTAGCCGATTCTGAAAACTCCATACTTTATTCGTGATTGGTTGATTCCGTGCGCGATTCACTACGATGGACTAACTGACCTAACTTCATCCCCATCATTTAATCCTCCTTTGAATTCTCGCAATAAGCAGAAACGGCTCTCATCTATCGTTATTCGTTAAAAAAAACATTACTCTAAGAGTGGCGGCTTCTGGTGATTGTGCTTTTAAAGTGATAAGAGTATCAATAAACTTTTGTACAATTCTGAAAAGAACTTCACACGGTGGTCAACAAGCGAGGTAAATGTGACAAAAGCGGACAGTAACTATTGTCGCAGTGTCGCTAAATTGGACGTTTTGTGAGCGATAAAAAGTTGCCAACAATCGAACAAAATGTCAGCCGTCATTGTTGATGTCCAATGATCTGATAAATGAATTTGCAATTTCGAATCATCAATTCAATGGATTTATTTATAAAAATACAAATCAAATGACTAAAGTACATAAGAATATTTTTGTTTTTACACAATTGCCGTGGGATTGACCATGATACATTATAAATTTTGTGATTCGTGGGATCCTATTTTATTACGCGAGTACAATGTAAATTCATTATATGCCAGTTTGAGGATCTTGCTTTGTATATGTTCGTAGGCGTTTTGGAGTTTAACTGTTTGAAATTATGTTGTTTGTCTATTGGTTGTGAATTAAGTTTTTATTTTTAAGTATTTTTAAGTGCATGAAAAGGTCAGGTCAGTTGGGCCATCGTAATAAATTCACTAACAATTTACAACAATGATTTTCGAACGCGTGCAAGTCGGACTCTCCTTCCCTCTACTAACAATCCTCTCACCCCTATTGTTATTATGTAAATTAATCTGTAAAGTAGTTATAAATGTAGACTAATACTGTTGTCACGGAATAAATTCCTATAATTACGATTTTGGTTTGATTCGTGAGATGTGGTAGTGAAATTACAGGGCATGGAAGCATAACGTCTTTAAGAATAGTAACGCGAGAGGGATTTTTTATGAGTGAAAATGGAATTGTAACCCATATATGTTAATGGTGTACAATAGCGGGGCAATGTGAGATGACACAATGATGATGAAGTCTGGCTGTGTTTCTGTTTGAAGGGTGGGATATGACAGTGAATTTACAGGGTACAGAGGAATAACACCTGATTTCTCAGGAATTGCAACGCATGGGGGGTATCATGAGCGAAATAGTATACTCTGTTATGTCCATGGTAATGCTCATGTCTATAGGCGACGTTTACCACTTTCTATCAGGTGGGCCTTCAGCTTGTTTGCCATTCTAAGTTCCATAAAAAAAACGATGAGTCAGGTCATTTGGCCCATCGTGGAGAATTCACACAAATTACTTTTTTTTTATATCACAATGGTGGCAAATACAGCCCGTCTGAGTCCGTCTGATGGTAAAAGGACGCCTGTAATACTAGGGGTGTCACGTGTGTGTTGCCGACCCTGAAGAAACCTTAATATACCACATAACTACGATGGTTTCCAGATATGGGGCCACATAGAGGGTCGACTTGTCAGAGTATATTGCTAGCAATGGGAATAAACATACCCATTACTAATAATTCCTTCCTCCTTACGCAAGAGGGGTCGGTACCAGAGGCATATTCTGTGACATCCATGGTTATGTCCATAGGTGACGATTAACACTTTATAGCTTGTTTGTTTGTCATTCTAGTTATCACAAAAATACCTTTGTAACCTACAAACAGAGGTAGTATGTACGCCCACTACTGGGTGAGGACGCTCTTAAAAAAATAGAAGCATTAATAAATTATCTCTAATTGTGTACTTTTGTTTCTTTTTAGTGATCTGTTAAAACTAATTGGCTTTACATAGTTACATGTAGTTAGGCGTACAGTACAGTGGAAGGGATGGGCCAGCCGGCCGCGTAATCGACCGTGAAACTACTTTCTCACGCCGTCTCACACACTCGCCTCGCTGTGTATGTTAGACTGTGACATACTGGAATCGATCCTGAGCTGTAATTCTCTAAATTTATCTCTAAAACGAGTATATTTTGTGTCATTTAAAAAGCAACTACAATAGTGAACGCCTACACACCGGTATGACCGAAAAAAATATGATGCTAAAATTTATAAGGTTTGTTTAGTTTATTTGTTACACTTTCACGCTAAAACTACTGAATTTTTGAGTGATATGTGGTCATGTATCAAGTAAGTTATATTCAAACTTAGCACGTATGATACTTTATACGAAGAATGATACACAAACGGAACTGTAAGACACAGTTAATATCGAAAACATTTAAAATTGAAACGCGGAATTGCGTACATATAGGGAAATTTTTCTTTGAAAAAAAAAACAACGGCACAAAATATTATGTTACAAAAAAAGTAATAAAAACTATATAACTATATTATAACTATAACTAATTAGAAAAAATAAAATGACCAGGGAAAAATCTTACTCTAATTAATTTTAGATCGTCCTCATCATTTTAGCGAGTTATTGTTCGCTGTTCATCATTGACACAGATAAAAGAATTCTTTTCCTGTGCCATTGAACTAAATCAGAACAAAAAAAAAAAGATTGTCCTAGTTTTATGTAATCATTAGCAAAGATAAGGTGGGTACTATTGTATCTATCTATTTATTTCACTGATTGTATTAAAGGTTATAGATCGGTTTCATTGTAGATAACTTTAACGAGAGAATGCCCTGTCTGAAGCTTATAAATTGAATTCAAATTTGGTATCCCGATAGTTATTAAGTTTGACGGGATTTCTTCACAAATTCTACATTCATTCTGATAATTATATTTGGTATCGTTAGTATATTAGTATATATAAAAAAGACGCTGTTTTTTTATGCAGGAGGTATTCATAGTAAGACTTATTGATATTGCTAGTACTTCATTCTTAATTTAAATTTTATGACAATGACGTTACTGTTCCATATTGAACGTCACGGGGAGATCTATTTTCCGAGGGGACAAACGAAAATAATAACATCAATAAAGATTATGACGCACAAAAAACCTATTGATTTAAAAGCTAAACTACTGTTCTGAAATTCCATACATATATATATATCTGTCACGCCTGTCTTCAATTATACACCTAAAACCGAAATTGACAAAATAAAATAAAAAAAAGATTTTTCAAAATCGGTTTATAACTGCTTATTATGAGGTAACAAACATAAAAAAATACAACCGAACTGATAACCCCCTTCTTTTTGAAGTTGGTTGAAAAATAATTTCTGGCATAATGCCAGAACTTTTGACATTAATATCATTAGGCATAATTGTTAGTCAAGTCGGTTTTTTTTATAATTTCTTTTTAATTGTTATCGCAAATTTTGGCCTATTAAAACACAATGGCAACTTTGTTAGCACAACAAAGCGAACTAGCTGCTAAATGTCAGATGTTCGCATTCACCTTTTAAAGAGACATGTACCCTCCAGAATTGACGACTAACGCAACTGTCAAACGTTTTGATCATAATCTAAGGATTAACGATAACTACAAGTAATAATAATATAAAAAGGCTACA